GTTCAAGGCTCAATAAATAACTTGTCTCTTGTTCGGTGCTGTAAGTTGTACTTCAGTCTTTTTTTCTTTCTTTACTTTTTATAGTCAGCGAGGGTGTAGTCGTGCTGTTTTTGTTCTGAGCCGGTGCTGAGACCACAGTAATGATAACAATTAGGTAACGTCGAGGCAGTGTCGGTGGGGATGTTCTGAATGCTCAGCTCATGAGAGAGGGGGTGGAGGAACAAAATATTTGCCGATGGTTTGAGTTCTTCACTGGGAGCCTGGAAAAGTGGAAAAACAGGGAATGCCTTAAGCTGGATCTTAGCGGGAGGGAGGAGATGTTGGTGGAAAAGCAAGGAAAGGTAGATGAGAAGGGGATAACCTTTCTAAGCTGAATTTGTTTGCTTTTCCCCCATTTTATATTGTGTGAAGTCTTGATGTTGATGTTCTCATGCTATATTTAAAAATAACTCTATTATTTGCACTGGATAACTGTGGTGCAGCTTCAGTTCGTTTAATGAGGAATTCACCCATTCGTGTCTGGTAAAGCAGTGATACAAAATGGGAATTGCTCAACTTAATGAAGATCTCCTTGTATAACCTTGGCCACAACATCTGTATGTTTTAGGTGGAGGAGGCGTGTTTTTTACCCAAAGAAGAATACAGAGGCATTTTTTTGATAATTTTGCTTACAAAATCGCTTTTAAAAATTTTGCCTGCAAAATAGCTTTTAAAAATTTTAGTGATGCTGCTTCTTTAATGAACCCTTTACTGCATGCTGAATGAAGTACATCTGTGAGCATGGAGCCTTAGTTGATAATACAATGCAAATTTGTTTTCAGAGTAAAGGTGTCAGATTTCATTAGGTTCTAGATCTGTATGGATGAACCAAGATTGGGGTTTTCTTTAGAAAGCAGTCCTTTCATGATGGAATTTTGATTGAGGGGTTTTTTTGCTCGTTAACTATGGGAATTAAGCATTAGTTTCCTTTAATTTAGAGCATAAACCAGTTTTGAAAAGGGAAAACAGAGTATCTTCCCCCCCCCAGTTTTTGCCTGTTGTCACTGCAAGTACTAACTGGATAATAAGCATCTGTGTTTTCTCTGTTGGAGAGTTTGGTTGTTATTTATTGGGAAGGTATTGCTGGGCTAGCCTCTGTTTCCCTTCAGCTGGAGTGGTGGGAGATACAGGTGAAAGTACTAAGGTAGAAGTTTGTGGCACTTGTAGTTGCAGCGAGAGATCTGTAAGTTGTGTTTCACTGTCAAGGCTTTTATGCCTTAGGCCATCAGACGCCATACCAGTTATTAATCTGGAAATGGTGTGGGAACTTCAGATTTATTTTTTTCTTAGTTATAAAACCAGCTGTGTTCTAATTGGGTAAAGCTAAAAAGAAAAGTTTCATGATTGAATGTTCTATGTAAATACTATGTCGCCTCTTTATTGATAGGTAACTAGGAACAGAATTTTTTTTTCCCCGTTTTAACAATGTTTATTTATGGCCAGGTGATTAAAGGATGTGCACTCAGTTGCTCAACAGTGTATTAAGAAGATATTACTGATGCTAATAAAATGCTTAGTTTTAACATTGCTACTTGGGGTAGGCATACTTGGCTTTCAGTTGTGGTTTGTAGAACCTCTTAGATCATGAAGTCACAAGCAAAATGGGATGTCAACTCTGACTATTGTAGGACTGCAAAAAGTTGCTTGACTAAAAAGGCTAGCAGGTGTTAGAGGTAGGCACTGACACAGAACTGTGAAAGGGTGGAGCTGCAAATGAGTAAAAACTTAATATGGGGGCATGTAATTCATAATATCTTTTTTCTATAATAAAATGTATGATTGTCATTTCACTCATGCATAATTGGTTTTAGGTTTGAAGAGCTTTTTCCCTCTCTCATGTTTATCTGAAATGTTATTTTAAGGTTTGGAATTAACTTCTGGATAGCTCTTGTTTTAAAAACCATGTCCAAATGTGCACTCTTCCCCCCTGCCCCAGGTTTTGAATGAGATTTTTTTTTATCATGCTTATAAGCATTCTGCTGCTGCCTCAAGGGCATTTTGTTCTTATGTAGCTCTTTTTGTCCTCTCAGTTTTGTAAATGTGTCTCAAATATATCCTTTAAAATGTGTATTTCAGAATTATTAATTATGCTGCTATGAACACATTTTTTATTTCTAAGAAAGGAGAACAAAATTCTAAGAACATAAAATATTCCTACTAGTAATTTTGAATTTCAGTAAGGTCATGTTCTTCCAGTTAGGGAGGATAATTTTGGAAATACACTGGGAATATGAGAGGTAGGCTAGTAAGAGAAAGGGTTGAGGCCCAATTGAATTTCTTTTCTATTCCTTTATCTGTTTTGTCCTATAGCATGTCTATTGTAGAGAAAACTGTTCCTTTTTCTTCTCTATACCAGTAGTTTAATCCCTTCAGCAAGAGGGTTGCTGCAGGCTGTTGAGTTCTTACTGCTACTGGTTAGAAATCCTGGATACCCTACTGGGGTAAAGCAGCAGAGCTTCTGCCTTTATCAAAATTTCAGTCACATAAGTTGGTTTCCCTAATGCTGAAATTTTCAGAGGTTTAAATTTATTCTCATTGACCATATGTGTTGGCTAGTTGGCAAATAGTTTTGATCTGTTGTTTCCTTGGCTTTCTTAGCTTCAGGCAGATTCCTTCTATTCCTCAGCAGCTCCTTAATTTAAATATTTAAAAAGTCAATAAGGCATGATTTAATTATCTGTTAATATCTTTTTATATCTTTGCTTTGTTTACTTCATTATCCATCTTTTAGATTTTTATTTTATTCATTTATTCTGAAACCCATTTGTTTAACTTGTTAATAAGTTGTGACAGAAATACAGTAGTGCAGTTACATATTTACACTGATAAAAGAAATAAGTATATTCTAAAATCTGCTAGGTGAGGCTTTTATTGATTTGGCATGTAAAATTAATTGTATGTTAAGTATCTTTCTGTGAGCGAGGGGAAAAAATGTTATATTGTTCTGTGTTTTATGTTTCCAGGGAGATACGACTTCAGTGACTTGATTTCAACTATATCCCTCTAAATAGCAGCTTTTAAATAGTCTAAGCTTTATATTTCAGAGTTCAGTTTAACGTTGGAGTGAGGACTATCAAGCTGGATGTTTTTAAAGTGGGATTGTGTGGGTCTATGAGAGTTGAGATATTCTCTATTTAATGAAAGGCAATTGATGTTTTCTGGGAGTGGAACCTTACCAGCAATGGTTAACTGGAGGCACAGTTGTAAACCTACAGAATATGGCCATTGGTGAGGCTGAGTGACAATTTTGTGGTTTTGACTAAGTCTCATTTTTAATCCTTATGCAGCTGGCAGTGCAAGACTAACACAATCTGTAGCAGTTTTGGTGTTAGCTTTGATAGTAGTTTTGCACTCTGAACTTTGGGAAGCCTTTTAGGAGTTGCAGAGACACTAGAATTGCTTGGTTATTTAACTGTGTTTTTGGACATGAATCAGCAGATAAAATGGTTTTAGATGTCTGCGTTTGCATATGTGAAGCTAAATTATGTCATTGTCTCAGTCTCTTCAGTTTTGAATTCTGTGGCACCAGTTTGCTGGGTGGGTTGTTTGATTTAGATTCTGCCATGTCTCTTATGTTAAGTGTTAAGTGAGACTAAGCATTTACAAGTCTTTGTTTTCTTTATGGAAGCATGTTTTAAAGAGCACTTCATTTGAATGTGGCGACATAACACTTTTCATAATCTTGATAGCTGGTGAATTGTATGATTGCTAACTGAGTATTTGTCAGTGTTGTTTCAAAGGTCTGAGTCTGTAAGTGGATCCTCTCTTGCAAACCTGTGTTTGATTAGTAGGATCAAAATCAGTCGTGGCTCCATCTCTTCATACTACTAAAATCTCGTGTCGGATGCTGCAGTGCAATAGTAGTAGCTCTTGTTCCCTGCACAGCGGATGGATGTCTGTGGATGGATGTCTGTTTTGAAGAGAGAGATCAAGTTCCTGACAAATGCACGACTGTATAGAGCAACTTTTCTGAATATGGGTTATTTAACACCATAATACAGAAAGAAGAGTTGTTACTGGGAATAGTGGTTCGTGCTTAGGCCTGAGAGGCACTTTGAATTTTTTGTTGATGTTTTAATACTCTTTTGCCTTTGGTCTCGGGCTCTGTAGAAAGGGAAGAACGCTTTCTTCAGATGGATGTTATTAAAGATTAGTGAAGTGCTTTTTGAAGACCGAGTTTTATTTCATAAGTTGTCAAAATTTAAATAAGCTACTGGCATATAGTTGTTTTAAAGTTGGATTGTTCTTCATGTTTCCTTATGGTTTACCTTCAGTGCTCGAAAACCTTTTGGTGATGTTTATTTCAATTTTTGTGTTGTTTGTTTACCTCTTGAGGTAAGAATTTTTTTACCTCAAAATACTCATTTAGACCTTGGGGAGACTGGTTTTTACTGCAGCTGTGAGAGAAACATGCTGATGTTGAACTTGTACATTAACATGGACTTTTATCTTAGTGAAAGCATTTCAAGTTACCCCTGAAATATATCTTATTTTTCCTAATTGATGATGTTATCATGGATTAAAAACCTCAACTAGCCAAAATCAGCAGAAAACAAGCTCTTATTCCAGGCTGCTAGAAAGCACGGGTCAGAAGTTGAGCATAACTTAGAGAAAAGTTGCCTGTTGAGTCTGCTTGGGAGACTTAGTTATGTTTAATATACGTGGCTGGTATTATCTTGTGAATTTTCATGCTTTCTTTTCTGTGTGGGGAAAATGGCCAAGCATCTTCCTTTGCTCTGTAGCCTTCTTTGCTGCCTGTCTCTGTGCAGTGGATGGTGGGGTTCCGGGAAGGTGCCAGGGGCTGCTTTTGTAGCACAGCTCTACTCTCTGAATTTCTCGAGTCACAGTGCATTTTACAGCACCATCAGCTAAATCAATTGTCTTTTGACCTTTGAATTCAAATGACAGGCTTATTGTATGCTGATGTGATGTGAAATCGGATTAGTACAAAACTTTTTTTTTAATAGCAGCAGATAATATCTGTAAAACAACTGCTGTGGT